TATCAAAGTCGCGGAGTGGATTTTGAGGCAAGAAGAAGTGGTATGACAGGACGAACGTACCGTAAATACCGAGTAAAACGAACGTGCTCTTAAGAGGGTTGGCAGCAGAGGTGGTTGGTAGGGGGGGGGGGGCGCCTACTACTACTACTACTACTACCACTACTACTACTACTACTACTACTACTACCTCTACCACTACCATTAATTCCGGGGCACGCTGGGTTCAGAGTCTGGAAGTAGCTGGGCTCTTCTTCTTCTTCAAGTTGCCCCCCCATGCATTTCACAGTTGCCAACATTCTAACACTGCACGTGCTTCCATTACCACCATCATCATCACTACCCCCACCCAAAACTGTATAAGCTTCGTTCGTATGCTCATATGATCATCGTCACCACCAACATGAGTGTTATGCTCCACATCATCGCGGTCATGGCAAATCCGAAACCCAAATGTCGGATATGCAGAGGGACATCATGATGATGCTGATTGCGATTGTGTTAATTGTGGGGGCTTCAAGGTGCTTAAAGCGAAGATTGTTGCTGATGATGATGCAAGCTGACGTCGCACATAGGCAGCGCTGCTGAGAGGAATGTCATAGGAGAACACTCTTGGGCAAACAGCATTGTGCTGCCGAAGTGCCCAAAGCATCCACAACATTGGGATCGTGACCAGTCTGCAGCAGAACGCGAACCTCGTAGCTGACGGTTCTGGTCTTTCAATCTGAGCTTTAGTGTTTCTCGCTTGCACAGAATCTGCTGCATCGAACTTTCTCGCACAACTTGCGTCGGTCTTGGCTCTTTGCCGACTCTTCATCTCCACTTCGCACCGCCGCGATGAGAGCCGGCTCGGCCGGCACCTGGACAGAGCACAGGCTATGTAGATCTCTTTGCAAACACCCACAACTTAGAAAAGTCTGGAAATGCAGTGGCCGAGAAACTTCAGGGGTGAAAGCTGCGTCATGACGTGCCGCCGGTAGAATCTGTGCTCCATGACTCTGAACGATTGGCTGACTCTGCAAGGGCGGCGGCGATGCATTGGGAGTGTTGCCCCAATAGAAATCGAAGCGCGCCTGACAAGTCTAGGAAGCGACGCTGCTCTGGGCATGTATGCTTCGAAGGTGAACGTTGAGCCTTCTCCACCGCAAACGCAGCGGCAGGCACCGCTGCTTGCCCAGGCAGCTGTTGGTCTTGCTGCCTGCTGACCTTCGTCGAACTTGGGTTGCTGGAAGACGGCAGTCAATCCGTCAGTGCTTCTTTCGTTTGCTTTATCAAAAACCCCAAAAGCACTTTCAAAGAGGATTCAAGAAACAGGCTTCGGCTCCTTCGCAGCAGAATCGCCTGTGGATGAAGGCCAAGTCAGACATGTGCGGTTCGGTTCTAGATTTCGGCAGAAGGGCACCGGGAAAGGCTGTGGCTCGCTATCCACTTCTCACTTCGGTGGATTTTTTCGCTGGGATGTTCTAGTTCTATATAAATACACACACACACATATATATACATATATACATACATATATATACATACATACATATATACATATATATATAAAATTGTAGTCATGCTCCAATGAGAGCTCCATGAGCCCCAACGGGGTGTTGGATTCTGCAATGACCGCTCGTGGATTGTGGAACCACCATGGTTTATTGTAGATACCGTCGTCTATGGTACTACAAATTATAGTATGTGGTAGATATTATCGTCTTGTGTAGTATATTCCAGTATATTGGTGTTTGTTATTGTCTATTGTTGTATATTATAGCATATTGTTTATACTGTGCAGTATACTACAGCATATTGCAAGATACTGCAGTCCATGGTAGAATGTTGTAGTACACTGTCGTGTACCAGCGTATACTGCCGTATATTATATTGTAGTTTATTGTAGTATGTTATAATCGAGTAGTATATGAAAGTATATGGTAAGATAATATGGTTTATTGCGATAATTTGGAATCTTATACGACGCGGCAGTATATTACATTTTAGTGTATTAGAGGCTCCTTTGCTATATTTGTAACACACTATAGCTTCTTGCAGTATATCGTAACATCTTATGAAAGTATATTACGCAACATTGTAGCAGCATTTTAGTATGTTGTAGTAGATTGTAGTATCTTGTCGAGCACTCGTTCAAAGCTGCAGACAAAACAGCTTCAGGACCCTAAGACAACGAATGCATGTCAGAGCCACTGAGTGGGGTTTCCGGTACGTCATCAGGTTGTACTGCTTGAAGTAGAAGGCCCATGTCTGGATGGTGAACCTCTTGATCACGAGCATAAGCGCGTGAACACTGGATCTTGCTTCGGATGCTGATAAAAGAAAAGCATATAGAAATCAGACTAGTTCAGAACTGGGACCATGATCCATGCATCTCTTCTCACCACCTAGGAAGTGGAGGCCAAGAGCATGGATGAAAGGAGAGAGGCGAATTATGCTTGGCTACAATGCCTTCTGTTACCGGTTCCTTTCAAGCAGCTTTCGGACAAGATCTTTCCTGAGCTCTTGAAGCCCAGAAGCCGCATCCTCCGCGTCGGAGTCGGAATCCAAGACTTCGACCTTTGGGGCGGCATCCACCCATTTTCCACTCACCGAATCCCACACGGGCTCAGCGGTCGCCCACCTGAACTTTCGGGGGTTTTGGGGTAACCTTGATGCCCATGATCTCAAGTGGAGCGGACTGCGACGCAGCTCTGCCTCTTCTGTGCCTCTGTCATGGTCGGAGCCCTTGGCTTCACCTGCGCATCGACGGGCGCTTCCTGGATTCGGAGCGAGATGACAAAGGCATCGTCTCCCTCTCGAATGCCCAGATCAACGCTTTCAAAACAGCTCAGGCAAGTGCGATGCACACCCTCCGCCATCCTTGGTTTGATGCAGTCTTGCACAACAGAACTCAGGACTTTTTGTTGCGCAAAAGAGAGAGAACCCTTGAGCGCCCGAGGTGCGACGGGTCTTGTCCCACTCAAACATCTCGACTTTGGCACCTTTCTGTAGCCGACGAACGAAAGGAGCCTGGAAGCGTCTGCAGGTGATCGTGGCATGGCAGAAACGAGCGGTTGCAAGTGGATTTCACAAAACACCCCCCTGCCTCAAGCGACGGAAGCTTCCGAACAGCAACGAAATTCGCTACGACTTCGTACCTTGCTTGTGGCGCGCAGGAGGCGAGTGTGGGTAGGTCACCAGAACTCAACATGGGTAGTTCTCTAAACTAGGGTCCCTTTTAGGGTCGGATCCTAATGTAGAGAACTACCATGGAGATCCGGGCATGCCAAGAGGCGTCTGGCCACTTTCCAGCTTTCTGGGCTCCTGGCACTCCGCGGTCTCAACACAAATTTTCACCGGAGACTTGTAGGGTTTAGGGTTTAGGGGCTTAGGGCTTAGGGTTTTAGGACCGAACCCCCGCAAACACGTAAGAAAAGGAGCGGTTCCAGAGAAGAGCCCGGCCGCAACGAAAGTGTGGATTGGGGTGTTGCAGGGGGTTTTGCTGCGCAGTTGGACTACACAAAACTGCTGCCCGGCTTCCTCCTCCACGTCGGCCTTGTAGCCAGCTGCTTGTGAGAACTTGCCTTTAAGACACCTTGGAATTCAAATAAAGACTTGGGGTACCTGGTTTGGGGGTCCTCATTATCAGGATCCCCCTATACTACCTTACTTAGCAGATCGAGACTTCCTTTACTCTGCCCTAAGCACCACCACAGAGCTTCAGCCCGAAACTTCCAAAGGAAGCTCACCGAGTGGCTCAAGGCTGGAGCCCAAGACAGGAATCCCTGGGTTAGGCGAAGGGCGGGTCTGTTGAATAGACACCCGGCCCTTCCTCATTGAACCCTAAACCCTAAACCCTAGAAGAGCTCTTGAAGAAAGGTCCCTAGGAATCGAGCGATCCTCAACTCTGTGGGTTCTGATCTCGGCCCAAAACAGATCCCAGCATTGCAGACCCGACAGTCGTGCCGCATGGCAACAAGCCCCGGCTGACACCGAGGAGAAAACACGAAAAGCTCAAAGGGGCCGAAACTCAAACCGTAGAAGCGCTTGCCACCCTGAACCTTGGCCTAAAGCGCATCGAAACTTCCAACCCAAGTGCCGAAACCCCTACTTTACCCCCGCTCCACCCTAAACCTGATACTCCACTCTTGCATAAACTACGGCAGACGACGTTAGGGGAGCTCTTTAAAAGGGGATTAACCCCTGACCTGGAACCTCGTATCGAAGCCTTAAATTAAGGGAAACTACAGGTGGGGAGTTTAGGGTGTATAGGGCTTCCATAAGGCTTCTTTAAAGTATATAGACCTTCTACAAGGCTCCTATAACGGCAACTACCCACCTGAAAATGTCCTAGACTTAAATAAATTGACAGAAGCCTAAGCCCTGAGCTCCTGATAGGAACTCTCCAAATCCTCCCGCCAGGGTTTTTCTGCCTACCATGAGCCAGAAGTCGTAGGATACCTCGTTGGGGGGTTCGATTCTCTCGATCCTCTGGCCAGAACCCTCAGGAGGATCTAGAAGTAGATTCGAGAGTATTGGGACCCTATACTACTGAGGGGTACTTCATAGGAACACCCCTTGCCCTAAAAAATCCCTGTGAACCCTAAACCCCTATACGTCCTTTTAAGGAGCCCTGCAAGGAACCCCCCGTAAGGGATCTAGTTCTTGGGATCCTCCTCCCGGCGGGGGTCTGGGTAAGAGGGGCTGGGTTGGCCCTAAAACTCCTAAACCCCTAAAACCCCTAAACCCCTAAAACCCCTAAAACCCCCAAACCGGGGGCTGGGTTGCCATCCCAGCGGCGCTTTTGGGTCCTCCGGCTGACCCATGGCGCGGATCTGAGCCTCCAGGCCCTCCTGGTTTTGGAGGGGGCTTTAGGGCTTGAAGGATTTTTAAGGTTTTATGGATTTAGGGCTTAGGGTTTTTTTAAGGCTTTACGGTTTTAGGGCTTAGGTTTTTTACGGTTTTACGGTTTTAGGGTTTAGGGTTTTTAAGGTTTTACGGTTTTAGGGCTTAGGTTTTTTACGGTTTTAGGGTTTAGGTTTTTTTACGGTTTTACGGTTTTAGGGTTTAGGGTTTTTAAGGTTTTACGGTTTTAGGGCTTAGGTTTTTTTACGGTTTTACGGTTTTAGGGTTTAGGGTTTTTAAGGTTTTACGGTTTTAGGGTTTAGGGGCTTTAAGGTTTTACGGTTTTAGGGCTTAGGGTTTTTAAGGTTTTGCGGTTTTACGCCTTAGGGTTTTAAGGTTTTACGGTTTTAGGGCTTAGGGTTTTTAAGTTTTTACGATGTTACCTTTTTACGGTTTTTGGTTTTTTGAAGATTTCGGGGAGTTTATGGGTCTTGCAGGGTTGTTGAAAAGGTTGTTAGAAAGTTCTTGAGGGCTCTAGGGAAGCTTTATGAAGGATTTCTAACGTCCCATGTATACGGGTGACGAGAACATGGCTTCGGAGCATCTTAAGATCAGGGTCCTTATTCAAAAGTCCTGTACCTCTGAAGGGACCCAGAAATTTCGGGCTCCAAGTCCATTTAAGTGGTCCGAGTATACCGAGTCACTCGGTTATTAGCACGAGTATAACAACCCAGACCCCCGGGAGGATCCAAAAAGTAGATCCCTTAAGGCGGTTCCCATAAAGTACCCTTTAGTAGTATTTAGGGTCCCAAATTAGGGGTTCCACTTTTTCGATCCTCCCGGGGTTCTGGGAACCCCAACAAAGACCTTTCTGAGTCCGATTTTCTTCGAAGCGTCTGAGAGAGCCCTCAGGTCGGGCAATCGGCGAGGTTTTTAGGGTTTTAGGGGATTTTGGGGAAGCTGTGAGGGGGACTTTAAGGTGTCATTGATTCGGGAGTGTGAAGGGAGGGGTTCAGGTTTGGGTTTAGGGTTTAGGGTAGTTAGGGTAGGCCGCAGGGAGCTAAGGGTTTAGGAGTTCCATGCTGTTCTTTCATAGGGTTAGGCAAGAGGAGTTTGAACTTCTTTGCTGTGCAGTTGGTACTCCCAGTGCCTTCTCAGCAAGAGCACGACCCAAAACTGAGCAGTATGCCTTAAGTCATCGTCGGGAGCCCTACGTAACCTTGGCGCCTTTCCTGCAAGCCAGCCCTGAGCTCCTTACTTCCCCACTAAGCCAGTAAAATTAAAAGGTTAAACTTTCAAGTTACTACTCAATTGTAAGAACCCAAAAAGTTTAAAGGTTGGGCATTGGGGAACTAAGGCTCCTTCATGGCTATCATCTGCTCCATCGTCATCTCCCTGGCGCCCGACATGTCTCGGACCATGGCTCCGACGCGCCAGGTCTCAGAACGACACTACCAAGGCAGGAGGAGCTTTTTATATCCAGGGTTGCTTCCGCTGATGCTAGGTCTGTGCTTGTTGGAAGTCTTTTTTGAAGGTTCTTGTCACAGTGGAAGATCACAAAACGACCCTTCTCCATGGCATGCAAAAGGTTGGGCATGACATCACATGCTGTACTTTGCATGCTAACCTAGAATCCATGTCTACGGAACATTGCCCGAACCTCTTGTGTCATGGGTTTAGTTGCAGTTGATCCAATCGTGGGTAGAACCAGACTTGTATGGGTATCGTGCAAGGCGGGGAGGTCCGACGAAATGGTACGGGTTAGGGTTGAGTTGACGGTTCAGGATGTCACCCGTTCACCTTCGCGAATCATGTGATTGCAGATTTTAACATATTGAAGCCTCCACCGCCATTTCGGGAGGCGAGTGGAAGAAGTAAGACAGTGCAGACTTCGCCAAGGAATGCTAGGACCTTTCGGCGGCTTCTACTGAAGGGCCGGGAGCACGACTTCAAAAACACACGGAACTGTCCGGAAGACGGGGCCACAGCAGGATTGTCGAAAAAACACGAATTTGCTCGAAAAAGCTGAAGCCTACTACGCATGCCCCTCACCTGTCACCACCAGCCTACTTGCAGGGACGCGCAACTTATCCGGTTCAGGGTGACAGGCTTGGGGAATATGCGTGTTTTTTTTTAGATGGAAGGGCTCGGTTTGATGTAAGGAGCCTCAAGAGTTGGAATAAAGCTTCTTTAGGGGTTCTTTCAAGTGTTTCGTGAGGAACACTAAGGGGTGTATGATGTAGGGTTCCGGGACTTAGCAGGATAGGTCTAGGATGTCCAGGAAGACGTTGCCGCAGCAGGATTTTGAAAGTACGCGATTTTACTCGAAAATGTGCACCGTGCCACCAGTGGGAGCCGCAGAAGCGCCGGACACGCCCATGCCCACATCGTGGGAACAGCGATCTCATCCTCTTTAACCTTGACAAAACAAGCCTGTGGTGCTACCGTATATACAGACTTCAGATTCATGCATGCTTTCGTACACAAAACCTGAAACGGATAGCATGTTACAGTCTTGGCTGCATGTGGTTGTATAGTATCGGTACTAGGCACCGGCTTAATAGACTGGGGCCTAGGTCGTTTCCTTCAAACTCACCCAGCCCTTTGATGACCTAGCTTCCAAAATCCTCTCAGCCAGAAATCCTGAATCCGAGAAATGGCATCCTAATGCAAACACCCTGAATCCCATGTAAGTCTAGAACATTTTCAGGTGGGTAGTTACCGTTATAGGAGCCTTATCGAAGGTCTATATGCCTTCTAGAAGCCACCTGTAGTTTCCTTTAATTAAGGACTCCTATTTCCTGTTTTGTTGCACACACCCAAAGTTCCAACGTGGGCCCGACCGACCACATCGCACACTGCACGAGCAATCGTTGGGGTTGCAGCAACAGCCTCAACGTGCGAGTTTGTGCTTCACAGAGAATCCACACACACAGAGGTCTCAGAAATCTTGAACTCTAGCCGAGGGTAGGTTACCGAGCTTATGGCTCAGGGACCTAGGTCTGGCTTGACGGGTTTCGGTGGCTGAGGCCCAGGAAGGGAACTTTAGAGCAAACACCCGCAATTGGCTTGGGGAAGAATCCTCTTGCACTCGATGTTGAGGTCACTGGCAATGGCCGCATGCTCCTTTTCCGCCCGGCGCAGCAGCGAAGCTTCTGCAAAAGGGGCCATAAGCTCCTAAACCCTAAACCCCTTAACCCTAAACCCCTAAAACCCTAAAACCCCTAAACCCCTAAACCTCTAAACCCCTAAAGCCCCCATTGCGAAAACCAAGGCCCCAGACTTGAAGCCTGAACCTGAAACTCTAAACGCTTCATAGAGACCCAGCTACCCGGGAGGATCTAGAAAGTAGAGCCCCTAACTTGGGACCCTGACAACTAAAGGGTACTTTATAGGAACCCCCCTTAAGGGATCTACTTTTTGGATCCTCCCGAAGGTCTGGGGAGGGAGCTTTCCGGGAAGCTTCGAGGCTTTTCAAAGCACTCAGGGCCTTTTGTATCTACCGGTAGGTTCCGTAGTAACCCCACCAGAAATACCATGGGTTTCCTGTCTCCTCAACTTCATTTTCCGCATCTCAGAGTCTCACTTCTTTTTGGAGACCTGCAGCTGTCAGGGCTTAGGCTTGGATACTTACTTTCCAACGCCCCAGAAAAACCAGTTTCTCATTGTCAGCACAATAGTATTATGGTATAGTATGTGGTATATAATACATAGTATAGAGTATAAAATAGATTGTAGTAGCTTATAAATTGTGGTAGGATGTTCAAGCCAGAGACTGGCTCTACTGCAATCATATTCACACCCTCCGAGACCCTTTGAATTCCCCGTGCAGGTGCCGTACGGATCCATGTCACGATATAATATGTATGTATGTGAATAGGGTTTGGGGTTCAGTGTAGGGTTTAGGGCTTAGGGTTAGTATGAATGAATGTATATGTAGGATTGCCATGGTATCGGTGTCTGCACTCTGCTGGACCACGAAGTGCTTGCGGCTATGTAGCCCAGCCTAGATCTGCTGACCTATAGTGAACCCCAGAAAGTTGGAAGATGGGTTTAGGATGCTTGGTGCTGGGCTTCCCTATACTTTACCTCAAGGGCATGAGGATACGGATGTTCCAACTTTCTGGCTTCTACCTTATATCTAGGTCTCCCAGTGGTACGTACCCTTTTGCCCTGTTTCTTTTGTGCCCTCCCTTTATTTCGAAGCGAGTAACCAGAAAACAGGGCACCCTTACTCTTAAGGGGCTACTGGGGGGTACCTAGATGTCTGCTTTTGGCAGATTCTTCAGAATGAGGTCTGCGGAGAAAGGCTTGGCTCGGAGGTCGCTGTGCAGGATACCATGAAAGAATAAGGCACGCAAAGTGTGAGAGCAGCAGAGAAAGCTGTAGTCTGATCAAAGCAAGGCAGTGACTCAGGCTTTCGTTGAACATCGCCATAGCAACACCCATCAAAACGCCTCAGGGGCCCTATATGCACGCATCGACATCCGTAATGTAAACCCTACTTCACACCCAGCAGGGGTGCAGATCGGTGCGGGTAGGGCTTCAAGATAACCGCTTTCGGCAAAACCGTAGCCGCCGCTGCCACGTATGCAGCGGCCATTCGCAGGGAGAGGCATGCCCTTGCATGCTCGTATTCCGGAGAGTACGGCGTACCAATTCCGCTTGTTCCAGGGCTCCTGGCTTACACCCAGAGACTCCAATATCCCTTAATTAAGGAGTATACCTTAAATCATATTAGGGATCCTATTATAATTTAAGGGATATTGGAGTCTCTGGGCAGCAAGACCCATTGCTCGTCGTCTGGCTGCAGTGCCAGTGCTGTCTGGGGTCCTCCGAAGATGACCATTTCTAAGGTTCCCAAGTAGCGGATTGGTTCTGCCAGCGCCATCATGCATGTGTAGCGGTCTGAAGGGGTCAATGGTGGAGTCAGGCTTTCAGGTCAAGGACGTGCTGATTTTCGGCATATTTCGGGTGTTATTGACAGGGCTAAGGCAACCTTAATACCCCCCTAAACCCCTAGACCTCCTAAATCTTAAAGGCAAACCTTAAACCTTAAACCCTAAAACTCCCAAAGCTATACCTGAAGACCTAAACTTTAAGCTTTAGCCCCTACGCCTGCACTTCCTGCTGCTAAGGGGAACCCTGAGAATGGCACGAAACTCGAAAGACGACACAATGATCGTCAAGTACGGGTTAGTTAGGGGTTGCTGGGAAAGGAATATCCACGGATATAAGAGGTTTAACACTGAAGCTTTCAGACAGGTACTGAAAAAAGAGAACATCCTATCCAACTAAGGTGTGTGAGAGCCAGGGAAAGAAGACGCTCCTAATCCTATGCCCTAAACCCTAAGCCCTAATCCTAAGCCCTAAACGAACCCGGGAGCCCTAACGAAGGAAGGCAGAGGACAGCTCCCAAAGCGCCTTTTCCCGCTTCTTCTCCTCTGCCTTTTCGGCTTTGGCCTCCGGCTTCGGGAGTTCCCGAAACCCCTAACATAAGGGAATCCTGCATTACCTTCCCTCGAAAGGTCTAAAGATAAGACTTTGAGGTTAGGAGACTTTCCTACTGTTGATGATATAAACCCTGCATTACCTTAAGGACCCTAAACTATGGGAATTATGGCATATTCCTTCCTATGGGTAATGCAGGACCTATATCATCAACCGTAGGTTAGAGAACGACCCATGTTCTGTCACAGAGGGGCCTTAAAGATTAGAATAGGGTTCCTTTAAAGGGTTCCTTTGAAAGGGATTACGTAAGGGCTTTTAATGTAGGGGCCTGAACAATTAGAATAGCGTTTTGTGGGGTATACTATACTATAATTCTACCACAAAACCCCAAAATAGTATAGGTACTTAGAAAGGCCCCGATATTAACCTGATTTCTCCGACCCCTTATGTTAGGCTATAGTACGCCATCTTCAGAGCCACCAAGCTATTCGTATATGGGCAGTTCTCTAAATTAGACCCCTAGACAAGGCATCGAACCATTTGGGCCTGTAGATCCCACCAACAGTTTCCTAGGGTATAGAGGTTTAGGGTTCAGAGGTTTAGGGTTTAGGGGTTTAGGGTTTAGGGTTTAGGGGTTTAGGGTTTAGGGTTCAGAGGTTTAGGGTTTAGGGGTTTAGGGTGCTACCCCTAGAAAGGGCATCGCATTAATTAGGCCCGTATGCTAAACAGTCGCTCCCACCAACAGTTTCCTAGAAAGTCGTCTTCAGTAGCATCGAAGACCAACTTAGAGGCTCTAGACTTTCTAGATCCTCCCCCCAAAACCCGAAACCCCTACCCCAAGCCCTGAAACCCTAAACCCTAAATCTCTTAGGGTTTAGGGTATAGGGTTTAGACCCCCATGCCGCGAAACCCTGAACCCTAGAATCCTGAAGCCAGAATCATCCCGAAGGTTTAGGGCTTTGAACAGCAT